TTTTGGAACCTATTTCTTCTACCTAACTGTATTTTTGTCCCCTTAACCCACTGCTCTTCATCTCCTTCCCCCGCTTCCCAGCCTCTGGTAACCACCAATCTACTCTCCACCTTCACAAGATCTACTCTTTTAGCTCCCATAAATAAGTGAGAACACTTTTCTGTGCCTGGTTTATTTTACTTAACATAATGGTCTCAAGTTCTGTGCTACAAATGACAAGATCTCATTTTTTGTTATGGCTGAATAATATTCTGCTGATATATATCACATTTTCTTTATCCATCTATCCAATAATGGGCATTTAGGCAGAGTCCATATCCTAGCTACTGTGTGAACAATAAACAGTGCACACATCTCTTTGACATGAGTTCCTTTCTTTCAGATGTATACCAGCAGTGAGATTCCTGGGTCATATATGCACATATGGATTGTTCCTACCTTTATGTATTTTTTAATAGACACACATAAATTTACACAAAAGAATAAGGAAGGTGGGGAAAAGAAGATTCGCTCTAGGAGCTTTCCACACATCGCAGAGAGGACAGGAGAAGAGGGCCAGCGTAAACTACCTGCCTGGAGGAGGGAAAACATCCCGTCATCAGCAACTGCAACCTGGGTCCCCAGTGATTCCCCTGCTTTAGCCCCAAAAGGAACTCCCCTTTTCTTTCTTTGAAATCTGGTCCCCTGTACCCTGTCTGGGCATCCAGGACTCCCTGAAAGCCATGCCTGCCTCTTCCCAGGAAGGCCCAGGGGACTGGGGGTGCAGAGGCAGTGGGCCACCAGTGTGACTTACCCTCTTTCCAAGTCCTGGGAAAAGGGTCATGGGGAGGTGGCTTCTGCAGAAGCTGAGCCAGCAGGTAGGGCTTTGGGCTTGCAGAGTCCCTGGGGATTCCTGGGCTCTCCAGGGGGGAGCCCCTGAACCTCAGAGAGGCCTCAGTCTTGGAGGGCCCCATGGAAGAAAACCCCAGGTTCAGATGAAGTGTCACTCAGTCAGTTCTCTGTCACTCACCATCCCCCAACGACAGCTCATTACTCACAGAATGACTTCCACAGTTAAAAATATTTTTTCTTCCTCCCCCACATTTTTATTAGGATAACATTTTATTCTTTTAAATTTTTATATTATATTTTTTCCTTTTTCCTCCAATACCTTCAGTTGCCTGTATATGACACATTTTAAATATTCAGGAAAGTTGTTAGTGTAGTTCAATTGTCAAAAGCACAGTCACTACCAAGCTGCAATATTGTTAGCATTCATTTTCCTGTATATGCTCAGTCTCTCCTTTTCTCTCTCTGGGAGATACACACACACACACACACACACACACACAAACACACACACACACACAATCTATATCTATACATACCCATACACATATACAAGTGGATACGTACTACATACACACCCATATATGTACATACATAAATAGATATAGACATACTTCGATAGTTATACACACATATACTAGTTATACACACACATACTACATACACAACCATATATGCATACATATATATGCATGCAAATATATCTTCCCCATGAACTCTTTGAAAGTAAGGTCACAAAGACCTTCGTCCCTATATTCTGTAGTACGCATCTCCTAAGTACAAGGACATTCCTCTACATGCCTTAAAGTCTTTATTGCACCTAAGAAATTCAGCAATCAGATATCACCTCCTATCCAGCCTGTACTCAAATGTCCCCGCTTGTCCCCAGAAATCTTTTATAGCTGTCTTTCAAAACTAGGATGCTTGTCACAGGAGTGAGTCTAAAGAGAAAAAGAGAACTAGGATTCAAAGCCCACATATTGCATTTGGCTGTTATGTCACTTAAGTCTCTTTCAATTGCAAATGTCCTGCCAACTATATTATTTTGCTAAAACAACATTAGCTTTTGCATGATCCTGGGCAGTTATCTTGCAGAGGCTCTGACGGTGGCCCCCTCTGGGTTGTCTGATTCCTTCCTCATGGGATCATTTATCATCTCCCTCTGGCCCCTGTATTTTTTGTAAACTGGAAATTCATGCTAGAGGCTTGATTTGATTCTGAGGGGGGCAGCTTTCTTTTCTTAATTGGTGAAATGTGCACAACATACATTTACCATCTTCACCATTTTTAGTGTAAAGTTCTGTGGCATTAAGCACATTCTCACTGTTGTGCGACCATCACCATCATCCACCTCCAGAACTTGCATCTTGCAAAACTGAGACTCTGTCCCTGTGAAACACGAACTCCCAGTCCTCCTCCCCTGGCAACGTCATTCTGCTCTCTGTCCCTGTGAATGTGGCTATTCTAGGTACCTCAAAGCTGTGGAATGATACAGTGCTTGTGCTCAGTGACTGACCCTGAGTCAAGCCTTTAGACGAGGTCCTCCGAGGTGGAGCCTCCCACCAGGAGGCTATCGGGGAACCTGCTGGCCTTACCTGCCAGCCTCGCCTCTCTGGCCGCATACTGCCCCCCCATCGGGGCCTTTGCATTTGCTCTGCCCTTCCTGGCAGGCTCCTTCCCACCTTGAATGCCGCCCCTCCCTAGAGGCCTTTCCTGACTCCCCTGCCCAAAGCTGCTTCCCCCATCCTCACTGTCTCTTCCCTGTTTCATTCTCTTCCCTTCCCGATGCTCCCCCCACCTGGCATTACATTGTCTGCCATTTGTTTGCCTGTTGTCTGTCTCCTCTGCTCTCCCCCAACCCTGGCAGCATACATGGCACTGGCACCTGCTTGTATGAGCTTCCTCTGGCTGCTGTAACAATAACCACAAATTTAGTGACTTAAAACAACACAAATTTATTATGGGACAGCCAGGAGGTCAGCAACCCCAAATCAAGCTGGGCTTGGTGACTCAAGCCTGTAATCCCAGCACTTTGGGAGGCGGAGGCAAGAGGATTGCCTAAACTCAGGGGTCCGAGACCAGCCTGAGTAACATAGCGAGACCTCAACTGTACAATAAATCAAAAAACTAACTGGGTGTGGTGGTGCATGCCTGTGCTTCCAGCTACCTGGAAGGCTGAGGTGGAAGGATCATCTGAGCCCAGCAGGTCAAGGTTGTGGTGGCAGTGAGCAGCATGCCATTGCACTCCAGTCTGGGTAACAGAATGAGATTCCAACTCAAAAAAGAAAGAAAGAAAGAAAGAAAGAAAGAAAGAAAGAAAGAAAGAAAGAAAGAAAGAAAGAAAGAAAGAAAGAAAGAAAAGAAACCCCAAATCAATCTCTGTGAGCTAAAATCAGAGTCTGGGAAGGAACCTTTGGGGAGAATCCGTTTTCTCATCTTTTCCAACTTCTAGAGGCCACCTGCATCCCTGGGTTCACAGTCCCGCATCACTGGAACTTCTGTTCTGTCATCTCATCATCTCTTGTGACTGCGACCCTCTGCCTCCCTCTTGCCATGACCCTGTGATCACACTGGGTCCATCCAGCCATCCAGGAGATCTTCCTCTTTCAAGATCCTTAACTTAATCCCATCTGCAAAGTCCTTTTGATTGTGTAGGTAACATACTCACGCGTTGGAAATTAGGATGTGGACATTTTGGGAGAGTATTATTCTGTCTTCCATGGCTCAGTAAGTATTCATTTAATGAATGAATCAGTGAATGGATGGGTCCCTTTACACACTGAGCGCTGGGTCCCAGGTCTGGCTCAGCCACCGTGTGGCGGTGTACACTTGGACAAGTCCCCCCTTTTTAAGAGCCCTGGTTTCCTCCTTCATGAGATATGCTCTGAGCACACATGCCTGGTCCTCAGAGAGCAATGAGAATGCCGAGAAAAATGAAAGGAGACCCCAGTCCTCCAAGATCTTGGAGTTTGGCTTCTGGTGGTGGGGTGGGACTTGAGAAAGAGCAAACCTGACACAATCTGCTCAAGGCCACATTCCAAGTCCCTCAGAGAGCTCTGAAGTCCTGAGGAGGCCTGCTTACCAAGGAGGTGACATTTCAAATGGCTCTTGACGCATGAGCAGGAGTTTATGTGGTAGAGAAGTGGAAAGTGACATTCAAGGCCAGGGACAGGCCGCAGACCTCTTTGAGGAACTGTGAGGAGTGTGGTGTGCTGCCTCAGGGGAGGGAAACCATGAGGGACAGGCCTGTCTGGAAAGGGAGTCTTGAGGGTTACACCTGGGTTCTGTCCTCAAGTTCATGGGGAGCTACAGTGGGATTTTGAAGCAGGAGAGAGGGTGTCCAGTTCTGAGTCTGGACTGCTCACTCTGGCTGCGGCAGTGTGGGGAGGGCATTGAGGGGGCCAGCACCCGAGCCTGAGGTGGAAGTGGCCTGGATTGGGCAGGGACAGTGGGGATGGAGAGAAGGACAGATCTGAGAAAGATTTAGGAAGTCGAGTCAATGGGACATGATGATAGATTGAAAAGGGATTGGATGAGGAAGACCAGGCATGCCCCGGGAAGGAAGGGGAGCAGGCCAGGCCAAAGTGTGGGTGGATATGCTTCATGTACCGTTGAGTGAATCGCAAACTGGCCGGAGTTGGAACTCTGTGAGAAGCCCCAGAAGAGGCTGGTGGTGGGGCAGGGAGGCCAAGCCAGTGGGCTCATAGGCCTCTCCCTTTGAAGAGAGGTCAGTCATGCCGGTCATCATGGGCGCAAAACAAGCCTCAACTCCAGGTGAGGGGTTGGTCCCTTGATTAACAACCAGCCACTGAGGTAAATAGGCAGGGCTGTGAAGTCATCTCCCCCATTTTCAGATGGGGAAACCAAGTCCCAGTAACATCCAGACACAGCCAAGCCCACACTGTGCCAGTTGGGAGATTTTGTAAATCTCTTGAGACCCAGAGGGGAGGGAAGGATGGGGGTCCCCTCTGAACGGCTCCTGGCCAGAGAATTTCTCCACTCTGGAGGAAGTGGGGAGGGACTTCTCCTTTTGTGAAATGAATGTCAGATCTTCTGGGCTCCCCGGTGACTAAGAGGTGCATGAAGCTTGTAGGTGGAGCCAGCACTTAAATATCAGGTCTTCCCATCCTCCGAGATCAGAGACACCTGGGCCGGTACACACAGGACAGAGCATGGCCGGCCTGCAGACCCTACTCCTGGCTGCCCTCATCCTCCTTGCTGTGACGATTCAAGCAACTGAGGCAGGTGAGGCTGGGGAGAGGGAAGACTCCCTGCAGAGGCTGGGGCCAGATGCTAGGGTGTCTTTCTCATGTCTTGGAAGAGCACTGGACTGAGAGCTGAAGCCCCCAGCCTGCCGTTGGCTCTTGTGGCCTTTAGCTAGTCACGGTGCTTCTCTGGGCCTCAGGTAACACATCTGTTCAAATGGGTGGTCTTGACGACCTAGATGCTAGGTTGTCAGCTGGGTTGGGGGTTATGGTGGGCATGGCCTGGGGATCCTCTGTTTAGAAAACTCAAACATAGGGCCCTTGGGGTATGGATGAGGGACCCCTAAGGTGGCAAGGCCAAGGTAAGAGGACTTTCTTGGAAAGTTGGTCCTGCCTTCCTACCATCCATTTTTGCTTGAAAGTCAGTCTTCAGTCTGGGGTTCCTGACTCCTCTAACCCATCCCATTGTAAACTCCTGCTCTATATTGGGTACAGGAAAGAGCACTGGAGTTGGGCAGCTATGAACAAGAATTACTCCCAAATATTGGGTTTCCTGAGAGCTTTCCATGTACTAAAGACCCCCTAAAGCCAGTGTGTGCCTTGATCAGAGAAGAAAATTGGGCCTCAGAGACGTTAAATGACTTGGTCAGGGTGGCCTGGTGAGGCAGGGCAGAGCCCTCGAACCCAAGTCTGTGTCCTCTGTCTGAGCCTTGGTCCTGACTCTGCCACAGTCTTGCTGTGTAACCAGGTAAGTGCCTGCCGGTCTCTGGACTGCAGTCTCACCAGTGCACAATGAAGGGGGTCAGACAGACGTGAGTGGAAGCAGACTTATGTCATGTGCATCTGGATCACCAGGGAGCTTGTCAAAGGCATGCTGGGTTCAGCAGATCTGAGTGCTTCCCCCAGATGGCATTGATGCTGGTCCATGAGCCTCACCTTGAATAACAAGGGTCTCTAGCTCCTTCTGGCTCACAGTCACTGAGTTCTCTCCAGGAGCCTGGGCTACTGTTGACGCTCAGTCATTCTGAATCCTTGCCCCTGGTGCCGACTATCCCAGAGTGTAGACATCGGGCCCTTAGTGGCTTCCCAGAGGCCCCAAGGGTAGGGTTTCTGAAGGCCCGGAGTCCTCAGTCACCATCCATCCACTTGAAAACAGAAGAGCCGCATCTCTTTCCTGGAGCCTGGAGGGGCTTGGATTCAGGGAGTGGGGCTGAGGGTGACCTCTCTGTGAATTCTCTGGGCACTCCCTGTCCCCTAGGCCCCTATGGTGCCAACGTGGAAGACAGCATCTGCTGCAGGGACTACATCTATCGCCCCCTGTCCACTCACTTGGTGAAATATTTCTACTGGACTTCAAACTCCTGCCGGAAGCCTGGTGTGATGTGAGTAGGGAGCTGGGGCCACAGGGCCTTGAAGGGCCTGACAGGTGTGACCTGGAGTGACCCAAGTGCAGGTGGGAGGGACAGATTGAGGGATGCAAAGAATGCAGCTGGGCTTCTACGGAGAGGGACTGACTGGAAGAGATGGCTCAGCTGGGCTTGGGTGTACCAAGGACAAAAATAAAGTGGTCATTCAACAAATATTATAGGCACCTATTTTATGCCAGGCACTGCGCCAGGCTCTGAGGATACAGGACTAAATGAACGGGGTGCCGCCCCAGGCAGGGGCATGGCCATGTAGGCAGCCTGTAACTGTAGGGTCTAGGAGTTGGGTATAGTATGGGGTGTAGGCAGTATACTTAGTGTCACTGAGTCAGAAAAGAGGCTCGCACCAGTTTTTTGAGTTGAGGTCTCACTCTGTCATCCAGGCTGGAATGCAATGGCACGATCACAGCTCACCACAGCCTCCAGAGTAGCTGGGACTACAGACTTGCACCACTGTGCCTGGCTATTTTTTTTTTCTTTTTTTTACTTTTTTGTAGAGACGAAATCTTGCTATGTAGTTGCCCAGGCTGGTCTCAAATTCCTGGGCTCAAGCGATCCTCCTGCCTTAGCCTCCCAAAGTGCTGGGATTATAGGCATGAACCACTGCACCCAGCCAAGAAGAATCATATTAAGAGCTAAAACTTCCAGAGTGCTTCCTGTGTGCCAGGCACGGTTCTAACCATGACCTGTGTTAACTTTACCTCTCATGACAATCCTCTGAGGAGGCTTAGCTATTCCGGTTGTATAGATACAGAAATGGGCTTAGCAAGGGCAGTGATTGCTCAGGGTGGCCTGGGCCTTACCCCTGGTTCCTCGTCTAGGACTTTCTCCTGCATTTCTTGTTTGTCCTTGGCATCTTTCTCCTGCTCTTTTGCTTCCTTTTCCCTGGCCTGGGGCCTGCACCTGCACCTGACTGGTGGCAGGGGCCTTCCCCCGGGGGGCGCCCCCTCTGACTGCTTTTCCAACTCCCAGAGCCTGCTGCCTACCAAGACACACACAGAGGGAGCTTGGGGCGGGGACTCATGACCCCTTTGGATCTCTGTCCTCCTCTCCTCGTCTTCCTCCTCCTCATTGCTGACTCTCTTAGAAGGGTTTGCAGGTAAATAACAAAGAACACGGAAGTGGGAAGCCCTTCCAGGGTTCTGGTCACTTTAACTCTGTGCCTCAGTTTCCCTAGCAGTATAATGTAGTCAAAGGCGCTTTATAAATAGAAACTCATTAAATCCTTGAAACAGTCCTATGGAGCCGGTACTGTCAACGATCCCCTTTTCACCGGAAAGAAATGGGCACAGAGAGGTTAAAAGGCCTCTTGAGCATTATAGGGCACAGTAGTAGTAAACAGAAGGGGTAAAGTTCAATGCCTAGCCCAGAACACATGCTGAATTGTCGGGCATGTTAATGCTCCAGCTGCTCAGGAGGCTGAGGAAGGAGGATCGCTTGAGCCCTGGAGGTCAAGGCCAGTCTGGACAACATAGTGAGACTTCATTTTTTTTTTTTTTTTTTTGAGTTGGAGTCTCACTCTGTCGCCCAGACTGGAGCGCAGTGGCCGCTCCCGGCCACTGCAGCCTCGACCTGCTGGGCTCCGGCGATTCTTCCGCCTCAGCCTTCCGAGTAGCCGGACTTCATGCAGCACATGAGATCATTAGATTCTGAGCCAGAAGGGACTCTAGAAAAAATGTGCCTTGACATATAGGGAGATCAAGGGACAAGGAAAGGTTGGTGTTGCTCGGTGACCTCAGGGGCAGGCTGGGCTGCCCAAGTGGCCAGTCAGCATTGCTGCCTTCCTCTTCTTTCTATTTGTTAGTCGTCTGTGGGACGGGGCAGGTTAGGGGATGAGGGGAGCCAGGAGTTCCTGGGCCTTGTGACAGGCCCTTGAGAGTCAGGAAGGGAGTCCTCAGGTGGGGGCATGGTTCTGACCACCAGCCAGCCCTGGGCCCACTCTTGCCAACAACAGCTCTAGTGTCCATGTCCTGGCCTGTGGACTGCTGCAGCTGGGTGAGGGGATCCTTAGCCCACAAATCGCTGTGTGATCTGGGCCAATGCCCAACTCTCCTCTCTGGGATTTAGGCCTCTCAGAGGGGTCTGGAGGGGCACGCTCTCCACAGGCACTGCCCCAACAGTGTGAGTTCCCAGCATGCATGGCGCAGTCAGATCTCCCCAGCTCGGGCACTTGGGCAAGTGTTGTTGCCTCTCGGGGTCTCAGTTTCCTTAGCTATAAAACGAGCAGAATAATAAGACCTCAAAGGGTTGTTGTAAGGAATTTTTTTTTTTTTTTTTTTGAGTCAGGTTCTCACTCTGTTGCCCAGGCAGGAATGCAGGGGCACAATCAAGGCTCACCACAGCCTCCACTTCCTGGGCTCAGGGGATCCTCCCACTCCAGCTTCCCAAGTAGCTGGGACTACAGGCACATGCCACCACACTCAACTAATCTTTTTAAAAATTTGTTGTAGAGATGGGGTTTTCACTATTTTCCCAGACTGGTCTGGAATGCCTAGACTCAAGTGATCATCCTGCCTCGGCCTTCCAAAGTGCTGGGATTACCGGTGTGAGTCACTGCCCCCATCCCATTGTAAGTAAGGATTTACTAAGAAAATCCGTGTAAAAGATTCAGGCCAGCTTCTGGTGCAATTCTATGGCACCTACTATGTGCAGTAGAACTTGGTGGTGCATACTTTTCTGAGCATTTCAGTATGCATTAACTCACCAAATCTTGATCCCAATTCTGTGAGATTAGACAATGATTATCACCTCCATCCAAACAGATGTGAGAACTGAAGCTCAGAGATAAGTGATTAAGTGATAGGATAAGACTCTTGGGGGTTCTGTCCCATGACCTGATCTGGCACTCAAGGCTGGGACTGAGAAGCCAATAGTCTTCGAAGTCCTTGCCGCTCATCTCCCTTTTAAGAACTATTATTTGCTTGCAGCAGGTGACTCATAAATGCTGAGCCATGTACACAGCAGGTGGCCCAGCAATGGTAAGCTTCTGAGGGTATGACATCCTTGCTGCATGTTAATGCTGCTGCATTGTTTCCCTGGTGTCTCCTCCCTCCAGCTTGTTAACCATCAGGAACAAGGAGATCTGTGCCGACCCAAGACAAAACTGGGTGAAGAACATTATTCGGAAGCTGGGTGACTGAGGAGCGACCTTGCCCTGGCGACCACAGCCTTGGCTCTTCCGGGAAGCTCAGGAGCCCTCCCTCCCTGCCGTTACAGCTGCTCTCCAGCAGAAGCCTGTGCCAGCGATTCTCCCTGCATCCTGATTCCATGCCTGCAGCTGTCACTCTCCATCAGACCTCTGCACGCTCACTCTCATCTCCCCTCCAGCCCTTCCCACCCATCCTCTGCCCGCCTCCAGCCAGGGGGTCCACTTCCTGGTCGGTCACTCCGCAGCTCCAAAACCCTTCCCCACACCCCCTGCTGAGGTCAGGGCTCCCGAGCCTGGCACCCCAGCCCTCCAGATCTGGGATCTATCCATGCCTCCAGCCCCTTCACGCATGTTGGGTTCTAATTCCCTGCTCTCCAAGCCCATACCATGCATTTCCACTTCTGACTCTTTGCCCAGGATGCTGCTGAGACCCACAATTTGTCCTCTCTACCCCCTGCCTGTGTCTAAACTCACTAGCCCCCCAAGGTGCAGCTCAGCCCGAGTGACCAGTAGTTGAGTTTCATGTTCCAGATTCCACAGCCCTCCGTCCCCTCCAAATAGCCCCCATCACAATCTGCCCAGATTCTCGGGGCGGGTCCTGTCCTCCAACCCCTCTGGTTGGACCAGCGTTCGCATGTGAGCCACTCTGTCTCCTAGCCTCCAGCACAGAGCTCAGAGCAGAGCCTGGCTGGGAATCAGAGCCTGCAGATGCCTGCAGATGGAATCAATACAAAGAACAAGCCTCTCCCTCTCCCCTCGAAAGGCAGTCACATGTCCACACAAGGACTCAAGGTCACTAGAAAAGGGCCAGCTGAGTTAATCATGAGGCCCCGGATTTGCTCAGATTTTTGTCTTCCCAATTTTACCTACGTGTTAGGTCTCTCTAAGCTTCTTTCTTCCCTCAGGATTCTGTTGGTGGTGGTGGTGGTGGTGTTGGTGGTGCTCCAACCTCCAACACTCAGGCCTGGCCTCTCCAGCAAAGCCCCACTCCCTCCTTCCCTAGATAGCTGATAACCAAATTCATGCTATGATGTGAATAACTGCCCTTGGCTTGGTCTTATATATGAAAACGAACTAAACACTTAAGAGTCCAAATGGAGGAATGACAGAATTTTATGAACTGTGTGGGAGGGGGAGGAGGTGAAGCTGTCCTGGCCCTGGGAGGCAGCTGGCTGTGGTAGGTAGGATGGCTCTGGGGAGGAGGATGCAGTTAAGTGAAGGAATCCTGGGTAGAGACTATTCCCAAATGGTTGGGGCTACAGGCGGAGATTTAGAATGTATCTGTGTCTCCCCAGGGACAGCAGTGTCTCAGGCAAAGGCCATAAACTTTGCATGTGCTTGCCCCTTTCCAAGGAGGCCTGGCACAGCTCAGCAGGGCGATTGGAGCTGTGTGAACTGAGGAGCCCATTTCATCTCTCTGAGTCTCACCTGACAAATGAGAATGAGAATATCCACCTGGCAGGCTTGCTGTGAGGCTCAGGGTGAAAGTGCCAGGAATGACCCTTTGCCAGTCATATAACTTCGTGTCTCCCATGGTCTGCATCCCTCCCAGAGCCTAGAGTCACCTGCCAGCCACAGTCACTAAAGCGCTAACCTGCCCACTGCCCATGAACGGGGCTCTCAAGGGTTCCTTCCCCTTCTGTCCTGCCTGTGCCCCTCAGGACTTCTGGAAAATAAATAAATAAAACAGTGTCTGCTTTGGTTCCTTGGCATTTTCTGTCCCTGTGAGATGGGGCAGGGAGCCCTTGGTCCTCTCTCCCTCCCTAGGGAAGCTTTACATTGAAATAGGAGGTGACCTGCCTAAGTGAGTGGTGGGGAGCCAGGACTGGACACAAGAGCCCGGAAGCAAGCAGTGCAGGCACCAGGGAAACCCAGACATTTGGTGTGGAGTTCCCAGCTGTCTGAAGGACTGGATGAAACCATTCGGTTGGTCCCCAAGTCTGGGGCTTTCATTCAGTCACCCAACCTTAGCCTTGGCCTTTCAAGGGTGGACACTGAAGTATTAGACAGGAAAGGATACCTCCTGCAACAAACACCTCCCAAATCTCAATGGATACTTTTTCTTCTCACATGAAGTCTGATCAAGCATTCTCAGTCTGAGGCAACCTTCCACGTGGTCACTCAGGGACCTAGGCTCCTTCCTTCTGATATTATCAGGCAAGGACACTGAGGAAACACCAAGTACGTATGGACAGGCAGCCCTCCTGATTAGCTAGGGAAGAGTTAGGCAAGGCTGTGCCCCAGGGGCCCTGGGGATGGCGGCAGGGGTGGCTCACTGGTCGCACCCATTCCTTCTCTCACCCTTGAGCCAGCAGGAGTGCCCCATCCTCCCCACTGTCCTCTCCATAGCTGTTTCTTTTCTGCTTCCAAGGCCGGGGGATCCCTCATGTCTCCCCAAAACAGCACAGGCTCCCTGCTCTCTGGGGCACAGGGTCCTGGCCACCTGAGGGCCTGTGGAAGGTGCTGGCAGGGACATTCCCATTCACACCACTCCACCCACCCCAGAGGAAGCTTTCCTGCTATCTGGTGCTGCCCGTCGTTTCTCTGGTCATCCCACAGCTCAGAACCTTCCCAAGCCTCCAGATCACCTCCTCATTCTTCACTCCTGCTTCTGAAGCCACCGCAGTTCTGCCCAGCCATGGCCTCCCATGAAGCCAATGGCATTAGGCCATTCTCGTCCCTGAAGTGGTCTCACACCTGCCACTTTGGATAGGCCTCTCCCTCTGCTTGGAATGGTCTGTCAAGATCCTGCCTCTGTGCATGTGACAGAGTGTTGGCCCTTTGCGCCACAGCAAATCACAAGGGAAATAATTCTTCTACAGTAGAGAGATCTAGTGGTTACCCATCGATTGGAAAATCCCATCAACCCCAAAAAGGTGGCACAAGCGGGCCATGGGAAGTGACCAGCACTACTCATTATGGATTCTTGCCAAGAATACCTTGGCTGGGTCTAACAGAGCCTTTAGATCAAATGCCCAGTTTACAGGAAATACATGGGATAGAGGAACACATTAGATGACATCACAAGGAAATAACAGTGAGTTAAGAATGAGAACATTGTTAACACCACAGTCTTGACTCTGAGGAAAGTCAAAGTCATGAATACACATGCAGGGGTCCATTAGAGACTAAAAGGAAATAACCATATGCAATACATGAACCTAGATCAGATTCTGGTTTAAAAATAAAAGCAAGAAAGACAGGAAGAAGTAAAGGAGAAAGAAAGGGAGGGAGGGAATAAGTAACTAGGGAGAGAGAACAAACGATCAAATACATTTTTGGGATAATTGGAGAAGCCTGAATATGAACCGGGTGTTAGGTGACATACAGAAGTTACACTGTTCATTTTGTTAGGTGGGATAATGATACTATATTTATGTAAGATGCTTTTATTCTAAGGAGATGCATGCTGAAATATTTAGGGGTCAGTGGCAAATATTCATAATTTACTTTACAATGGTTTGCCAAGTATTTTTTAAATGAGGCGAATATGAAAAAAATGCTAACTGCTGAATCCAGTTCTTCATACCATGCTGTCTTCTGTATCGTTTAATATTTTTCCAAACAGAAACTCTAAGGAGAAAAAACAGAGCTCTGCCCATTTCCGGACTGAAGTACCATCTATCTCACACCTGCCTTTCTTGTTTCCCCGGCAAGAATGAGATTTCCTTCCATCCCTCCCTCCCATTCTCCCTTCCTCCCTCCCTTTCTTCTTCCCTGAGCCCTACAGCCTCAGAATCTCCGGTAGGACTTGCAACTTCCCCTCCTACTGAACTGTGACTCCTTGGCGGTAAGAACTTTGGCTTCTTTACTTTGAGTCCCTCTGTCCCATCACAGTGCCAGGCACACACCAGGGCTTAATAACAAACACTAATGGCAGGCACTGCAAAAGTTCTTAGTTTTATTTACTCCCCAGTGACCCGGTGAGGGAGCTATCAGTATCCCATTTTATAGACGGGGTAGTTGAGGTGCAGAGAGGTGAAGTACCTTGCCCAAGGCAGTATTTCACACCAGGTCTGCCTGACAGGAAAGCCTGGTTTCTGTGTCCGAATTGAGTCTGAGCTCAGTTAGTCCTTATCACCCTGATGAGAGACGTAGGGGTGATCATTCCCATTTTATGGGGGGAGAAGCTGGACCTGGAGAGAGCAGGGGGTGTCCCATGAGCTGAATGAGGAAATGCAGAGCTGTGCTGTGTTTTTGGCACCTATTTCATGCCAGGCTCTGACCCGGTACCTTATGGGCAAAAACTCCCTTAATCCTCGCATGGTCCCTGGCAGTGGGGATGACTGCAAGAGGTATAGCCCAGTGGTCTTGAGCTCAGACCTCAGAACCAGCTGGCTGGGACAAATCCAGGCTCCCTCGTTTCCTAGCTGCTAATCCTCAGGAAGTTTATGAACTTCTGCATGCCTCCAGTTTTCCCATCCATAAAATGGATCATGAGAATGGTATTTTGCTTATACCCTGGTTCGATCATGATGATGACATGAGTTAGTACTGGAAAATGCTTAAAACTGTGCTTGGCTCAGAGTAAGTATGAGTTAGTATTGCCATGCCACTTTACAGAAGAGAAACGGAGTCTCAGAGAGCAGGGATGCTGCCCAAGTTCACCCAGAGGGAGTGCCAGGGCCAGGGTATGGTGGCCCCACAGTCCGTGCTTTCTAAATATCTCTTCAGAGCATAGTCTGGGGCCAGAACAAGGGTCTCTCCTCCCAAACACTTGGCCCCACGTGGCTCTTGTTCTTCAGGAAGTGTGGGGCGTCCCAGGATGGCCCCTTGCCCTCCACTCCTTCCCCCCTCCCATCTCCTCCCCCCTCATTCCTTCCCCCTCCTCACCTCCTCCTTCTCTCTCTTCCCTTTCTTTTCCTTCCCCCATTTTCCCTCTCTTCCTTCTCCTCCTCCTGCCCCCTCTTCCTCCTCTACTCTTACTTGGGCAGAGCAGAAAAAGTCCTGGATGTCAGTTTCATCTCCCCTTGTCCCTCCCTAGGCCTCCGTTTCCCCAGTTGTAGAAGGAAGACTTGGACAGTGGAAACGGTTACTAGCTTCCTGTCTTCATAGGCGGGACAGAGTCACTGAGCATGAGTGGGCCTGGGGCCACGACAGGGGCGCCCCTCCCCTTAAAGGGGCGTCCAGCCTTCCATTCCATACCCAGGGCAGCGCTTTTGTGCTTGGGTGGGTGGTGGCTGAGGAGAGAGAGCTGTCCCTGGTCTTGGGAGTTGTGGCTCTTCTGCTCAGCCCAGTCTGGACCAGCTGACTTGTAGCCTGGGACATTGGCTCACAGACAAACTGGTTTTTCCTCTGGCTGGCAGCCCAGAGACACGTAACCCAGCACAGTTCATTCTTGGCCCAAGGTTGGGCTGGACCCTGCTAACACTTCTAGAGGCCCAGGGAGGCAACCATCAAAGTAGGCTGTGCTACACCCAGCACCCGCACGCTTAGTATTCTTTGATGGGAGCCCGTGGCAAGCCCTGCCTGGTCCTCTTGTTGCCATCTCCAATGGAGAGTAACCCTAGAAGGTCCATGCTGGGAATCCCCCTGCCCGGTGGGTTAGCCAGTGCCCTCCTTGGACACATGAGAACTCAGGCCCCGCGGGAGGCAGGGTTCTCCAGGGCACAGCTTCAGAGTCGAGGAGCCAAGAACCACAGAGTTACTCTGGGTGGCTGGGCAGCCATGTCGTTCCTCAGGCTGGCAGGAGCCACAGACAGAGATGGGAGTGGATGCAAAGCAGACAAGGAGAGGTCGGGAAGCTGGAGGTAGGGAGGCCAGGGTCTCTCCTGAGCTGTCCACGGCCCTGCTTATCATTGCAGTGGAAGGTGGGTTCTCCACTTGTTGCTCTGAATGACCCAGGGTGACTCTGGGCCTCAGTTTCTCCATCTGTCCATATGCAGTTGGACTGGATCATCCTTTGCAAAGAATGATCCATGGAGCCCCTCCTGTGTGCCAGGCTCCTGGTGGGCTCAGGGGCTTCACGGATGAGCAAGGTCCCCCAGTAGCTCACTATTTAGGGCTTGGGATTTTAAGGAGTGGAGTTTGGGGGTTCATCATGGACTGGGAGAGATATTCCCCCAACCAGCAAAGAGCTTGCAGGCCCCGACTGGCACCTCCCGATCCCTCCCAGCTTGCTTGCGGCCAGCACCTTATGTCCCTCTGCCCTGCTGTCCTTTACTTATTGCCCTCTTAGGGGCAAGGGCCCCAGGCCAGGTCCTCGGGCATGTGCCAGCTCCAGGCCAGGCGGTGGCCTGGATTAGATGGGAGGAGAGGAGGCTCTTTGAACCCTGGCGACCTGTTCCAGCCTCCCAGGCAGGTCGCGTTATGAGGAGCAGTAGGAGCAGTGGAACCTCCTGCCACGCGCCCCCTCCCAACCTGCCCAGCACTCTCTCTCGTTCCTTGGCAACCTCCTGAGGAATCCGGGCTGCACACGGGCTCCCTTCCTCTCCCCTCCCACCCGCCTGCCTGCGGGGGCTGGGAGGAGGCGGAGGCAGCCAGCCCTATTATAAAGAGCGACAGAGCTCAGGCTGCAGGGGGACAGCACTGAGCTCCGTCGTCTTGCCCACAGCTGCCCGCCCTGGCCACCGCCCGGACCCTCACCCGTCTCAGCCATGGCTGCGCTACCTCTCTCCTGGCTGCTGCGCTTGGCCGCCCTCTGCCATCTGACCACACTGCTGGCCGGTGAGTGGGGCCTGGACTCCGGCACAAGCCGGGTGGGGGAGCTCCCAGTCCCTCCTCTGCCCCGCAGGCCTGACATCAGGGCCCCCAGACCCTGCTGGGGTAAGGCTGAAGGTCCAGGGCAGCCCCTTCCCGAGCAATGAGCGGAAAGGGGCTGGGTCCCTTCCCAGACCCGGATGCAGCACTGGAAAGATGCCCAGTCTCCCGCGACTGCCCCTGCCTGGCCCAGTGAGCGGAGGGGTGGTGTGGGTGGCACAAGGCAGCCAGGTGTGGGTGTCCCAGGAGGGTGGGGGCTGGGGAGCCTGCGGAGGCTCCTGGTGGGCTCCACGGTGGAGTACTGGCTGACCATGGGCTGGGTCTCCTCAGCCAGAGTTCATGGATAACCTGCAGCCAGGCCAGGGCGTGGGCAGGACTTTCTCCTGCACTGGTTTCAACACCCCAGGAGTAGGGGACCCTCATCCCACCCCGAGCAATGAAGGTCAAGGTCATTGCAGCTCACGGATAGGACTGGCTGCCACTGCACTGGTCTGTAGCCCAGTAGCTCTGCCCCATGTCTACTCTGTCAGGCTGTCTTCCTTTTCCAGGCACAAATTAGAAAATGCTTTTGCCTCCAGTCTCTCCAGGACCTGGTAGGGCATGGTATTATCCATCCCACTTGACATGGGTAAGATGGTGGTCCAGAGACGTTTAGAAACCGGCCTGAGGCTGCACAGCCAGCAAGTAAGGCAGGAGAGGATAAGATTCATGGGACTGGATGCAGGCAGGGGCAGCAAGCATGCCCACTACCTCTGTGGGCCACACCACTTCCACTAGCCACCAGCAACCCCCCCTCAGGGAGTGCACAGGCCATCTGGAAGGTTGATGCTCAGAGAAGGTGAGACTTTGCCTTAGGTCACAGAGGGAGTCTGGGAGAATGAGAAACAGTTGCTTCCAGGATATCACCATGGAGCAAACTCACCATCAAGGCAGGAAGCAGAAGTGTGAGTGAGTGGATGGGTGTGTGGGTGGGGGCCATGGAAGTAAACGGATGCTGGCTTTCTGCTTTCTGGGCTTGGGCTCTGAGGTCTGAGGTGTCTGGGGATAGCTCTAGACAATGGGGAGTCAGACAGGTTGCTTTGCCATAGTCTTGCTATGTGACCCTGAGCAGGGTCTTGCCTTCTCTGATCCCAGCTGCTGCACCTTTAAATATAGCTATTCCCTCCCTGGGCTCATGAGGATGTTTTTGGAAGAGAAAGGGGGAGGATTACTAAGCTAAGGTGGGTTGGGGGTTGTGGGGGGATCCTATTCTAGCCTGTAAAGGGGATCCTGGGCACTCTGACTAAGCAGCCTGGGGCTTCAGGACCCTCAGGCTCCTACCCTAATCTTGGTTGTTGACTTTGTGGGGAGATACTGGGCATTATTTCAACCTTCCTGAGCCTCAGTTTCTCCTCCTGTGAAACTGGACATTTGACCAGGCCCACCTTGGAGGACCTCACCAGCATGGATGTTTGTGGCTTTCAGGACCCCCCCTGGGAGCCCAGGCAGGATGAGGGGTGGTCTGGAAGCCAGAGAGGGCCTGGGAAGAGGCTGGGGGCTTCGTGGCTGCTGTCTCGGCTGCTGCGTCAGTCCCCAAATGTGGGTTTGTGGGGCTGTGTCAGGCGGGAGGCTCCTGGGCTTTATATAACAAACCTGCAGATGCAAGTCAGAGCAGAGAACCTTCCTTCCCAAGCACTGACGCATTCACTCCCACTCAAGTCCCAGCAAGAAAGAAAAAATCTGTTTTAAGCTCCTATAGTCTGCCCTCCACCTCCCGCCCCGTTGGCGGTGGGGGTGGATGGAGAAGGCAGGGGAGGATAAATTCAGAGTGTCAGAGCCAGCCCCAGTCGAATTTAAATAGAAATGCCTCTCTTTCTCTGTGGTTATGGCTTTCTATGTCACAAAGCGCTTCCTTACGCATTTCGTCCATTCATTCAGCAAATATTTATTGGGCACTGCCTGTGGGGCCACCACAGCTCTAGGTGTTGGGGCCACATCCAGGAATAAAATGACCCAAGATCTCAGCCCTCAGGGTGCTGAAATACACAAGACAAATGTGACAAAAGTGATGGGCAATACACAGACTAATCAGTAAACAATTTGACCTGCTAGAAGGAAAAAGATTAAAAAGAGAAAGGAGAAGGGAGGTGTTGATGTTTTACGTAAGGGGTTAAGGAAGTCTCACTGGGTGGGCAGTGTGTGCACAGCTTTGAGGAAGCTGAGGGGGTGAACTGTGAGAATGTCTCCAGGACAGTGGTCCTCAGAGGGTGATTTTGCCCCACAAGAGACATTTGGCAATTTCTGGGGACATTTTTGGTTATTAGAAATGTCCCAGCATTTTTGGTTGATGGGTGCTGCTGGCCTCCAGTGAGTAGAGGCCAGGGAGGCAGCTAAGATTCGTGTATAGATCGGTCCTCCACAACTAAGAATGATCTGATCCCAAAGGTCAATGGTACTGCTGTTTAGGAACGTAGCTCAAGACAATATTGCTCCAGACATTAAAAAATGCTTTTTAAAAAAATCACAACCACCCTATGAAACAGGCATTAAAATGTCCATTTTACAGGCAAGGGAACTGAGGTTCAGTCTAAGTAACTCGCTCAGGACTCACAGCCGGGTAGCAGCTTAAGCTTCTTTCTCTCTAGCACTTCACCCAGAGACCTAGGATATTCCTGCATGTGAGCCTCCTAGTAGTTCTTGAGGTCCCACCTAGGGGACACCTTCTCTAAGACGCTTCCCTGATCACTAGCAGTTGGAAGTGGCCTCTCCATGTAAACTCCGGTGTCTAGGGCAGCCTAGAACAATGGGCTGTTTAAGGCTGGGTGGAAAGCCAGCTTTGCCACTACACAGCTTTGTGGCCTTGGGCAAGTTGCTTAACTTCTCTGATTCTCAGCTTCTGCATCTGTAAAATGGGGTAATAATACTCCCTTTGCAGGGGTGTTCAGAATTAATGTGAGCAGATGTGCATGTGTTGGACACAGCGTCTGATACACGGTAGATTCTCAACAGAAAAAGCTCTGGTGCCTTGTGGACGGCTGGCTGTCTTCTGAGGGTCAGGGTAGGCCTTGTTCACCCCACTGTGCCTCCCAGCGCCCAGCACAGGGCCTGACTAGAGGGACCGGCATTTGTTGGTTGACTGAATAAATATGGTGATCTGATAGCATGTGTTGGGACTGAGGTGTTCTCTCCAGCTCAGCACCAGCACCTGTGGGAGGTTAAGGACAAGAGGGCCTGGGTTACTGCATATACTCCAAAGTGATTGAAGCAAGTGGATAGATGGATGGATGGATGGATGGATGGGTGAGTAG